GTTTGGTGGGAAAAAAAATTCAGTGCAAAAGAGAAACCCCCCCAAAAAAGCCTAAGAACACACTAAAAATACCCCCAAAACCCAGACCTCTGCTTGGAGAGTATAGTAGTCTATGACATTGCCTGAATCACAACATATCACACATATCTAAGTCAAACTCACACCTTACCAAATATGCACTATTAAAACTATCAACATCTCCTTGGGGAGAGATAGTGCATGAAGACTGTATTGCTGGAATCTGCAGCCATGACTAACTTATTGTTGGAACTACATGAAGTTGTCTGCTGGCTGACAGATGCTGCAGTCGAACCAGCACCTGCTTCATTCACGACCAGTAACTTAGCAACTGCCTTGGCACCGACCCAACAGAGGTTACTAACCAGTGCAGCAGTTGCTAACCAGCATAAACACTGGGACATATTTCATACACAGTATTCTGTGTGAATGGCCTTGGACGAGCGCCAGGAAGAGTGTCATTGATGAGTTGGGCGTGTCAGGCTTTGTCTTGTCTTGCCACACCTAGTTACTCCTGGATCTAATAACTCATTCATAAAAAAGACTGGTACAAAACTGTTCCATTCATAGGTGTTATATATGATTTCCATTGAGAATTTATAGAAGAATAGTGTACAAATGGATCAATGTCACAGGCTTTCTCTTGTCTTGCCACACCTAGTACCCCCTGGCTCTAATAACTCATTCAGAAAAAACAGTAGTACAACCTCTGGGCAGACATGCTCCATTCACAGGTTTTCTACTATATGAATGTCCTTAGAGATCTTTCTCTTACCTTGCCCCACCTAGTTACCATTGAATCTTATGACTCATTCATGTTGCTATTGGGGCCACACCTAGTTACTCTTCATGTTGCTATTGGCTGCCACACCTAGTTACCCTTCATGCAATCTCATAACTCATTCATGTTGCTATGTGATGTCACACCTAGTTACCCTTCAATCTCATAACTAATTCATGTTGCTATGTGATGCCACACCCTAGTTACCTTTGAATCTAATATTACATTTATCTGCAGAGGTGTTTAATAATAATCCATCAAAATTCACTCTCCGGAAGAAAGGCTTATGCAATACTTGGCACCACTCCAGAAATTGTTCCATATCGATACATCAATAGAACTCTCTTGTCATTGTACCGAACAATAAGGTGTGGTTATACAGTCTAGACGGAACCATTGTGCAAATTATTCTTTCTGAGTGAAGATATATCAAAGTCTACTCAGTCAGATATAAGTAAATGGCCAATTCTGAATGGCAACTGAATTGTCTTTCATGTGCATGTAATTTGAATGTGTATTGAACTGAGATAGCTTTCTACGTTTTGTAGAATTTGAGAAGGATGTAACATTGTAAACTGTTTGTTCTTTACTGATTTTAGAAATCTTTTATAACCTACTGATTCTCGGACAATATGTATGGTTTTTTTTTTATTGTAGCTGGTGTTCCCTTGTCTCAATACATCTGTACTACAAGAGCAAGTAGAAATAGTATGTACTGAATATGGATGAGCTCAAATAACATCTCTCTGGGGTCTTCTAAGTATCCGTCAAGAAAATTGGGTATGCAATTGGGGTGAAGTTCAAGTGAACACGTCGCACAGAAGATGGAACAATAGCAGGTGGGGCACCTGACCTTTGCAAGGCTCATAAAACATTCAGTGGTCTTCACATGTCTTCATGTCTTGAGAAATTTATAGATATCATATTACATCAAAAGATCTTTATAAAGGTGAAGGTATTATCTACACTACACCTTGGAAACATCAGTATCAATCTCCGGTTTTCTGTCTAGTCCACTAACCAGGATATTTATAGCGTCAGCTTGATGTTGTGGGCGTGGTTTGAAGACAGATAATATCTTCACTGACATTTCGATTTCATCTTTTGAATCTGCGTGACCTACTGCACTCAGAGACACAGTTATTCTTTCCTAGGTTGACACAACTTATATATAATTATGTATAATGGAACTGACAGACGGGGTATAAACTTGATGGACACATGCCACAAGGATATTCCTATTCCAGATTTCCTAGACTTTGTTTTGGGCAACTTGTTAGACAAGGGTAAATGTCAATGTGCATATAAATGTACGTTGAGGAAAATGCCACCGGTACTAGGCATACATATTACACTAGAAGTGTGTTTTATCTAGCCTCCTTCGCAGTCTTGTTGGGCGTGGGCGTAATTTTTCTCTGTGCGACGCGAGTAATATGCCGCCGCGAGGGACGATTTGCTGCCGAGGGACTTTTGCCACGGAGAGAAGGTTTCCGCGCTCCAACAAGACTGCTTCCAATCGGCGACTAGAAAGGACCTCGGATTAAGCCAGTCTTTCATAGAGGCTATTAACATGTTCGTGCAGGTCCAATTCACATGTTCGCGCAGGTCCAATTCACATGTTCGCGCAAGGGTAATTCACAGATACGCATGGAGCGCTCGCCTTTTGTCAACGGTTGGTTTTATTAGCTTGCGTTATAGTGGAAGGTTCCAACAGAGAAAGGTTGAACATTGGTAATGTTACAACAAAGGCATTACTGTGCATATTTAAGCATCCCATGCAAACAAACCAAGACAAACTTTGCAGTACTATTTTTGCTGGTGAAATGTGCCATTGTTTTTATTACACAACTTGCTGCGGAGCGGTGCGTTACCCTCCTATGACCAGTGAGATCAACCCGCCACCAAACAACATGGCGGCAGTTTGTTTATCTGTCCACGTCCCCCAGCAATATCACAGTTTAGCTTGCGGGTTCCTGTGGTAGTGATCTGTTTAAAGTTGTTTTTCGTAGCAGCAATGACTACGGGATTTTGTCGAGTGGATAGGGCTCGGTTTTCGGGAATGGTTGGCGTTCTACCGACGGGTTGATCGGCGACCGCTAGAAGTCCTAGAAAGTTGCAAGTTTCGGCTCGTCGAGGAATGGGGCGTGAACACCTCCCTGCACTGGTGGCGTTTATTGCGGGAAGTTCACACATCCATGCCAATCGCTCCTAAGTGTTTTTTGATAGCCCTTTCTAGTCGCCGATTGGAAGCAGTCTTGTTGGAGCGCGGAAACCTTCTCTCCGTGGCAAAAGTCCCTCGGCAGCAAATCGTCCCTCGCGGCGGCATATTACTCGCGTCGCACAGAGAAAAAATTACGCCCACGCCCAACAAGACTGCGAAGGAGGCTATGTTTTATCGTACTAAACAAGAACTAAAAAAAAGGACTCTTAGTGACTACATGCTTGCATTTGACTGAGATTCTTAGCAAACAAACAAACAAACTCACCTCCAGAGAACTGGAACCCGTATGCCTGGAAGGCTGCTACCGATGCGGCAGCAGCCCCTGCCCGAGCCCCGGCCATCGCAGCAGCACTGTTAGCGTTGATCTTCCTGCTACGCCCAGCGGCCTTGTTCCCTCCCTTAGCCGGAGTGCTCTTGTTGGATTTCGGCCGGCCCCTACCCCGGGCAGCACCTTTCCCCTTGGCCCCTGCAGCTGGCTTTTCCGCAGGTGCTTCTTGCACTTGAGGAGGAGGCGTCACCGCAGCTGTGACAACAACGATCAGGACATGGACTTCACTTGCAGATCAGGCTAGCACACCTCATGCTCAGTATAATATGTTCATTATATTATTCACTGACCTTTAAAGTTTTTTTCATCAAAAAGATCAATTTCATTTTCATCAAAATAGGGTCTTTGTCTGTACAGCAGAAACCATTTATGAGTGTAGACCAATTATCATGCTACATGGTAAGCTTGTGAGAAAGATAGGGTATCAAGACCAAAACAATACTCCTGGCTCACAAATATACACGTATGCCTATGAAGCCAATTTAAACAAATTCATTTCCTGTATTGCCGACTGTAATCCAGTACTCCAACAGGTGTTTGGTTAGGGCCCGTTACATACGTGGTACGATGATTTGCAAACTGAGGGCATTCTTGGGAAAGTCATTCATGTGTCCTGCAAACTACAACTGTTACAGACAGATCTGCTTGGAGATGATAGTTACCTGCAGGCTGCAGTGCAGGCTGCTGCAGCAGTGTTGCAGGCTGCTGCGGGGGCAGGTCGTCCACGATCAGCAGCCCGTCGTTGCTGCTGTCGTCCTGCGGCAGACCCATCATCGCAGCCTCACTACCAACAGACATCTGAGGGGACAGCAATAGACAATACATAGTCATGCCTTCAAGTACCCGAGTTATCAAACAAGGATTAAGGTGTTTAATAATTTGCTTTTTCCTAAAACTTTTCATAGAATGGTACTCATTGCCTCCAAGTACAGCAGAGACAGTTTTACTTGATAGATACTTTGCAGTTAGATGTGCAAAGGATACATGTAGGTATGGCAGGTTGTCCAGTGTGATACAATACACAAAGGCCCTCTTTCCTAATCCTCATAATGCCAAGAGATCAGAGATTTCAGACTTCCAGAAAGTATTGTGGGTTTTTGTACCTTTCAAGTTCATCACATTTTCTGTGTCTGACAATACTTCCATACCCGGAAGCAATTACCAACATTTGTACTTTTTAAAGCTTTCCCAAATCTTCCATAATACCTGTTTTACATCAGTAGCATATCATTCCCAATGCATATACATGTATATCTATGTTGTCAATGTCATTTCCAGTCTTTTGTCTTCCTGTAATCATCATTATTCTAATGGTGTAATAAAAGCTACCAATGTAAAAAAAAACTGCTGTTGTTGCTTGAAAATGCACCTCCAGTGCTTTGAACCTGTATACTGTGTACACACACACCACCTGCCCTGCTTTGTAACAGAACACTGCCGGCTTAAACTGGATTGGTGCCCCACTTTTGCTAAGCCCTTGTGGTAAACACGTGACCTTGAACACGCCGACACACACGTGACCTTGAACACAGCGACCTCATCCTTGTGGGGTCGTGTGGCGTAAACGGCAGAGTGCTCGACTACGAACCAAGAGGTCCCGTTGTTTTACGCCCAACACATATAAACGATACACGTGTAAATCGGGCCTATGTGTGGGACACAACACCAGCAACAGCTGCCTTTGTTGCATGTGTATTATATTGTTACAATTTCAATAAACCAAACCACCTGCATATGAATGTTAGCGCAGGTAGAATTGGAGCTGTGCAGGTGTTTCTGATGTCTACCTGCACCTAACCTCTGCACTGATCCGTTTACTTGGTTTATATACAAATGTAGGCATACAATGTACATCGATCTTTACTTGCTGCTTTTCTTCAATAAACCAAACCAAACTGACCTCACTCGGGGCGAGTGGACTGGGCACGGCGGAGTCGTCTGCGCTGATGAGGGAGCCCTCGGGGGGTGGTCCATGGACGGGATGGACAGGTTCGAGTTCTCCTGAGACGGGAGGAGGAGATCCGCTGCTGTCTCCATGGTAACCACATCAGCATCCTTCTTCTTCTTGGCAGCCTCCCTTCTCCTCTAGATGGGAGAATCGTCGAAAAGAGTTGTGGGAGAAAGACAGCACAATGTTAGCATTTGGTCAGGATCTTTTATACTTCAGTGTGCAAAATTGTTCACAGTTGTCTTTAACTGTCAGCGATTGAAATACATGTATTGTTTAGACCATCAAAAAAGTTACCAGAAGATTCTTTGAACCATTCCTTATTCATTAGAAACTCAAATCAGCCTGCAGGATGCTTTTCATTGAAGTCATGAGGGAAGAGGTAAGGGTCAGACAAAATATATAACACGTCGATGAAGGTTAGACATCCAGGTAATACGATATGCCAAAAAACAGTTACTCAAGCAACTGGATATGATTTTGAAAACGTCAAAATTGACGTTTTCAAAATCATATCCAGTTGCTTGAGTAACTGTTTTTTGGCAAAATATATAACAATTTACATCATTTAAAGTCGTAATAAATCTATGCACAAATTTTCACACATGCATAGAGTCGATTCCGCGTCACCGAGTGGGTTTTTTCTCAATGTTTCTAATACGTTTGAATTATTTAGAAGAAAAGAATACCCTAGTAACAAAAGTTCTAAATTTTTCAAAAATTTGAAAATGAAAATTTGAATATATTTGAATTCATTTATATATTTCTGAAACATTTTGAATGTGACTGTACAAAGATCTCTTTCTTTAGAATAAATTTGAACTACCCATGTGTTTCTTTCACAATTCGAAATATTTAGAACTATTTCAAATAAATGAAAAATGGTAGATGTGGGTAATTGCCCCCATAAAAGTAGGTGCTAATCCTACTCTTCTGTATTCTTCTGTATATTTTTAGGTTTCACTGCTGGACACTGGTGGCTCTTTTGTTGTAAGGCATCAATGCCTGACACCCAGGCAGTCTACCCTGTACTTCACAGGGATGTGTGAATTACTTCCTTCCCATCCCACTGACCTATTTACAAAATGTTAGAAATAATTCGAAATAATGGTAAAAAATGGTAGAGTGCTGTTAGAAATATTTAGAAACTATTGGAAATGTCATATTCCACATCAGGAATATTTCAAACGTTTTAGAAAACCAGGGAATTATTTAGAATATTGACAAGATGTTCAAAATATTTACAAATTATGAAATTTCTTAGACAAACAATTACAAAGAATTCAAAACATTTCTAAATAATGACAATAACAACCCACTCGGTGACGCGGAATGGACTCTAGTACAAAAAAGATATGTGGGAGTTCTAGAAGGACAGCACAATGGTCAGGATCTTTTACATGTATAGTCCAGTGTGACTTGGAAAATCGTTAACTGTGGCCTTGAGCTGTCAGTGATTGAAACGTTGTTGTTTGGAGAAGCATTTGTATTACTACATGTAGCTCATTAATATGTACAGTCATGAGGGGCATCTACATTGTCATTTCTCTTGTCTTCAAATATATGTCAAATACATTACGCCAAAAAAACAGTTACTCAAGCAACTGGATATGATTTTGAAAACGTCAGACGTTTCAGCTAGTATCCACTAGCTTTCGTCAGTGACTGAGAAACCAGAGGGGAAATGCAGTTTTATAAGCACAACCTATTGATTGATATGCAAATAAGGTG